CTTGCCCAGCCATTAGGTTTATTGTTCACTTCCCCCACCCCCACCCAGTATAAACTATGAGAGGCCAGGGCCTTCTCTATCTTGTTGATCCCTGGATCCCCGACTTGGGGGACAGTGCCTAGGGCACAAAGGTAGGCCCTGCTGCATCAGTGTGTGGATGATTCAGGCAATGCCAGTGTGGTACGGCACTGTGGCTGAAAGCCACCTCTCCCAGGTGTAGGAGAATGCAGGAGCGGTGAGCAGAGTGGTGCAAGTAGATCCACAGGCTGGTAACAAGCCACTCCTATGCTGAGGAGGAAGCTGTAAGTGGTTACACAAACTCAGGACAGGGACTTCTGATGCTCCTGAAGAGTGTCACTCAGTGGGGACCTGCAACTCCTCTTCTGCTTCTATACAATAACATCTTTCTAACTTCACTGATAAATTCATTTCTAACAGGAGAAAATCACCTTCTGCCTTAGCTAGTGAGATTTCCAAGTGCTGTGTTATACACCAAGAGTGAGGTGTGTGGGCTCTTTTACTTGGGGTTCACACTGAACACGGGGCTGCTGCAAAGGCATTTTAAGAACACCAAGGGAATTCAAACTAAACGCGCACCAGCAGGTGAGCGGCCATCCTGTTCGCCCTCGGCTAAAGCAGAGTTGCGGGTGCTTGCTCTGTGTCCTGTCTCCCAATCTCAAAATATGATGACGTGGCCACGTTGACTCTACGTGGAGTAGTATTTTCAGTGACTTTGTGGACAAGTTTCTGAGACTAGGGTGTCCGTTACATTACCTCAGGGAGAGGCAAAGCAAAGCTAAAATCTGCAGGCTGGCATTTGGTTTCTGGTTTGACGCTGACTGAGGAAAGCAGCCTGTGGCCATGAAATGAAGAAAATGGTTTTACCTTGGGCTGCACAGGCAGATAATGAACGGCTGGCCCCAGTCACCTGACCCTCAACCCCTATTTCATGTATTTGCCAGGGAGGGGAGACAGAGTGAGCACAGGCTAGCAACCTGTGCTGCGGGCACTGAGGAGAACTGAGCGGCAGCGGGCAGGCCTGACAGGGAAGGGGACTGTCGGAGGCTCCTGGTCGGCTGTTACCTGTGCCAGGACGAAGTCTAGGAAGGAGAGGCATAGCCAGAGCAGAGCCGTAGATACCCTACCACTTGGCCATTGACCTCTAGTTTCCACATTTGCATTTAAAAGCCATTATGGAAATGTAACTTACTTTGAAGACATAGTTATATTCAAAGCACACTGCTCCCTCAGCCAAGCGACAGTGACCATAGCCCAGTAAGGATCTTCCCACGAAAGGGAGCGGGGAGACCATGTAGGCACAAATGGGAGGGAAGTCCAGCTTTTCTGCCATGGGAAACTCTCTGAAGTGTATGGAGGCCTCGCCCAGTCACACTCACTTCAAGAGGTTTGAGGGATTTCATTAATTTCCCACCTGGGGTGGACTTGCTTTGAGGGACTTCTAGGAACTTAACAGTTCCAGTTAACTTAACTGAAAAGGCATAATTATGGTGACCGTATGTTTTGAATCTAAACTGGGCTTGGGGTGCCTGGGTGGCTCAGTCGGTTAAGTGTCCAACTCTTGATTTTGGCTCAGGTCTTGATCTCACAGTTTGTGAGTTCAAGCAATGTGTCAGGCTCTGGGCTGACAGCATGGGGCCTGCTTGGGATTCTCTCTCTCTCTGTCTCTCTCTTTCTCTCCCCCTCCCCTATTCATGTACATGCACACTCTCTCAAAATAAACATTAAAACTAAATAAATAAACTGGGTTTAATATTGGACTATTTCATAAATACAGGGTTTATTATCATGGTCCAAAGAAAGCTGTGGGTCTAGGGCACCTGGCTGACTCAGACATTAAAGCACGTGACTTTTGATCTTCAAGGTCATGAGTTTGAGCCCCACATTGGGCATCAAGCTTACTTAGAAACAATAATAAGGCTACAAGTCTATTTGGAAGGTTCAAGACAACTGCTAGGAAAAGTGGAAGATTTGATTTGGATGACGACTTTCCTAAAGCAATTCAACTTGGGGCAGGGGGCGGGGGTGGGTGGGTGGGAGGGAGGTGTGTTTCTTCCAGCAATACTGAGGCTAGATATACCTGGAAAGAGAGAGCATACAACATATATGTATATATGGCGGGGGCGGGGGGGAGAGAAAGAGAAAGAGAGAACAGTGAGAAACCTGAGAAATTACTTGCAAGAATGGCAGAACCAGAGTAAAAGCCCAAGACTCTGCACCCAAGATAATGCCTCGGCATACATAATAACACCTCCCAAGAGCTGGACCTGAAAGGCCAAGTAGGGTGAGAAAAGTTTAAAGAGATAAGAGAAGCTAGAAGAGGAGACACAGACGGAAAAGACAGAGGAGGGCAAGCAGAGAAATGAATGAAGACCCGGGGAGTGGGGGATCAGTGGCAGAGAGAGAATGGGCTATGAACTAATTTATGCAAAGCATTAGTGTTTAGGTGTGCCTGGATGGCTCAATCAGTTGAGCACCTGACTTTTGATTTTGGCTCAGGTCATGATCCCAGGGTTGTGGGATCGAGCTCCACGTTGGGCTACATACATGGTGAGGGCGGAGCCTGCTTGAGATCTCTCTCTCTCTCTCTCTCTCTCTCTGTGTCTCTCCCTCTGCCCAACTGCCTCTCCCCAACTCGCACACTCTCTCTCTCTCAAAAAAGTATTAGCTTTTCAAGAACATGAACTCAAAACAGACTCCTGGTTTTCAGTTCACTTGGTCTGAACCATAGTAAGTTACTGCTACCCTTTCAATTGTTCTTCGTCTGTTCTATCTGTTCTAATTCTTAAATCTTGAAAGGGTCAGCTTCAACAGCTCACTGAAATGGGAAAAAGAGAATTACCCTGTGAGTTTCTGGCAAAAGCAATTATACACGTGGGCTGAAAGACATCAAGCTAAGAACCACAGGTTCCTAGCTCCTAAGCCAGAGAAACTAAGGCCATCTGGCTGCTTGCTCAGTTCTAAGCAAAATACAACTCAGAGCTGCTATGGAGTCTAGTCGGTTGACCACGAGCATCTGGCTTTTAGCAGTCCACATTTGCTATTAATGATAATTAGCTAATAATTTTTTTTTAGACTAACATGTTGGCAAGTTTTCTGTAATAAATTACTAACTCTTCTAAGAGAGGACTTTGTACTGGTCTGACCCAGCTGTCTTCTAGAAGACATTTGCTTAGTGTGACTATCTTTTGGGATTCTCTGTTCTTCTTGGTTTGAGCTCATCTACTGTGGTTCAAGGTGCTCTACCTCATGGAGAAACTGACTGGAGCATGTCACTCCCATGATGCTCATAAATCACAACATTCTTCCCCGGCAGCTGTCCTAAAGTCAACAGTGACCTGAATGGAGCTGTGATGCAATCAGCAGGGAGCTCCCCAAAGGTGCAGAAAAGGCACCATCTCTTTTATTTCCCCCAAAGTGGTATCTTTCCCCCTTGTACCAGCATGTTTATCAGAATAATAAATTAATAATCTGATAAATCACCCTCCTATTCAGATTGTATTCAACCAGCTTGAAATGCTGGATTCTTCAGTGCTGCATTTCTCTGCCAGAGACAAGACTGCTAGCCGGGGATATGCCAAGTTCTTGGCTCTCAATTGCAAAACAAAACAGTATAGGAGGGAATTTGTGACTTAGCTGATTTGCAAACATGACAGCAAGTCACCGCATAAACACTTGTTTTTGTGTACCTATTATTTTTCCCAGGCAGTTACCTGGATCCCATCCTGACAGTGGCCAAATGTGCTGCTCAAGTTACCCATGCTTCCTTCAGTTGCACTTAAGTGAGTTCAGCTTACTTTGCATCATTAAAAAAGCAAAAAACAAAAACAAAAAGACAAAAAAACAAAAAACACCCCAAAACCTTCATTAAATAGTAATCACAAAGCCTCTCAGTGATTATGGTAGGAGAGTCACCAACATCACTCATAATCAACATCAAGCCCACAGGTGTGTTCATAAAGGTACACGAAGATGCCATTCAAATGGAGGCAACTCGGGAATTAAGACTAATTAAGAAACCACGCTTACATATATGGGAATATGTTGAAATTTCCCAACACAAGTTCATCCTGACTTCCTCTAAGTAAAAAAAGGTAATCTGGGCACATGTGAATATTCTTTCCATGCCCCAACTCCAAATACCAGTTTACTGAATAATCACACAAACCAACAACAACATATACTGGGCCTAACTGAACGTATGTGGAAAGCACTCGGACTCTTCAACCAGAAGCCTAAGAGGCAGGGTCTTCAATTTCCAGTCTGTTTGAGTTGAAGAATCAGAGGATCCATACAGTTAGGTGACCTGTTAGTCCCACAGTGGTAAAAAGCAGAGCCACCGTCTGAATACGGATACTTCTTCCTGAGTCTGTATTCTCATTCATTTTGCTAAATTCTCTTTCTGTATCAAAATAAAAATGGAATAAAACTTCCACATGACAAAAGATGCTTAGATGACCTCACAGAGCACTGCATTTTCTTCTCCATACGTATCCCAGAAGGACCTTCCCGTTAGAATGCCTCAGTGTGAAAACTAACTTCCAACTTACCCAAATCCAGGGCTGAAGCACCAATCCTCTGGTAGAAAAAGGAGTTATAATCAAGAAGTTTCAATGAAATTGGAAAAAGGAAAAACTGCAAGGTCTTTTTTTTTGTTTTTTTCTTTTTTTTTTAACATTTTCATAGTATTGCAGGGTCGTTAGTAACCAAGCCTATCTAATCTAGTTCTTGCCCCAGGTGGGGTGAGTTAAGTCATCCCAAAGACAGGAAGGGTCATGCAATTTGTAAAGATCTTACTAAATCCTACCTCGCTGTGAGGCAAGTTAGAAGAATCTCTGGACTGTCTGAGGCTCTGCAAAGTGCTTTGGAGCTTTTTAGAGGAAAGGTACAGCACAAATGCAAATTAATAACAATATAAATCAGCTCAATTCCCTTATGCATAAGCATCTAACCCAATGAAAGGAATACGCGAGGCCCCAGGCTACAATGCCGGTCTTCGTCGGAAAATATATTTATTATTGATAGTGAGTGAAGTAAAGATGTCAGTATTCATGATCGAGAAGAGGTTGTATAAGCCAAGGTTGCCTTTATGTGGATAAAAAATGCCTTATTTCACTTGTAATCATAAACATTATTCCAGTAAAAGAGGTACATTTTTCTTTCCTTTTTGTCTTCCTTACATGATCACTATAATAAGTTAAAATGAAGTAGCTCTTATATAGTCAGGGGAGAAAAGAACAAGAGAAAAAACAACATGCCACAGCCTAGACAATTCCACCCAGCACCGCTGGGCAGAGAGGGAGGTTTGGTGCCCCTCCCCCCTCCCCCCTCCAAATACCATCGCCCCCTCCTCTCGCCCCACCAATCCCAAACCCTGGCTTTGCTGGAGTGAAGGTTCACCAAACCATGGAGCCTGATAAGAATAGAAAGTTGAAAAGGTGGAGAGGGGTGCCTTTCTCTTTTAATGGTCATAAATGGGTTGACTAACACTGCAGTGTCCTTGCTGGCAGATACCTGATCTAGGCCTCGGCTTTTCGCACTGCAGCTACTCAAACTGGGATGTGCCCGGCTGAATCTGCTCTCTGGTGCTTCTCTTTAATAGTCTTCTCTTTAAATGGTTACTTTCTCACTAGGGAAAAAAAATGTTCCGCCTCTGGAATTAACGTTGAGGAGTTCTGCTTGTTCTAAAAGTTGACTTTATCCTCCCTTCTCAAGCATGCTCTGCAAGAGAAACAGAAAACATGGGTTTTAGCAGAAGGAGGGACAGAAAAATGGCAGTAACTATATTACTTTTCAAAGATCTACTCAAAAACACAAAAAACCAGGTGTATGCTTCTTGTTCTCAAAATATTATTACCTTAAAGAACACCACTGCTTAATCATGTATAATCTCCAAACAACCCACCTCCACCACCATACCAAGCTGAACCTTAAGAGTGAGCATGGCCTGGAGTATAGGGTATGGGGGTGGGGGTGCCAGACCCGTGTGTTCTCTTACTACTAGGGACATCTGGAAATGTGTGGGAGTATTTCTCGTGGCCACAGGGACTGGAGTGGAGTGGAGGTCAAAACCCAAAGGTTCTGAGAAGTTAAGAATCTCTCCCAGAAACGTTTGCTCACACCAGGCAGAATGCAGATGTTCATGAGTTCGTAATGCTGGAAGGAGCTATGAAGATAAGTATCTATTCCCAAACTGCAAAAATGGCCCTTATATTCTATTTATTTATTTTTGTGAATGGGGGTACCGGGTGGTAAACGGGAAGAATTCTCAACTACAGATTAAAACTCTCTAACTAGCCAGGGCAGAGGATATATTCTCTCCATTCTTAGGAATCTTTAAAAGACAAAAGTGATGCTTTCCCCTTTAGTTTTGAAATTACTTAGAAAACAGAAGCTAGGCTGCCTCTAGCTCATCTGTTCACACCTTCTTCCCTAGATCCCCCAGGCTTACAGCCATTTACTCACCCAACTCTTAACTGAGCTACTACTTAGTAATCACTAGACTGAGTGAGCTGTTATGGGGAAACCAATAGACATGCCCACAGAAAATTAAGGTGTAATATAATGTAATAATTGGCTATTTAAAAAAAATATATACTTGCTAAATACATGCTAAAAGTTAAGCTTATTGAATAAGTAATACATACACACACTATAAAATTCAAGATTCAAGTATTTATTCAAGACAAAAGAATATAGAGGAAAAAGTAATTTTTGCCTCCCTCCTGTTTCCCAGTTTCTTGGGTATCCTTCCAGAGAAGGTAACAGTTTAAAAGAGAAGTGAGTGGTTCTGCCTCATTCAGAAGAAGAGAACTCTCTAGAGCTGGAGTGGTCAGAGAAGGCTTCTAACAGGACCTTTCAGACCATCTTTCAGAGTCTTTCAGAAGCTAGACAGAAGGTCCAGGAGTGGGTTGGGGAGGAGTAAGAGCGAGAAGCAGCGGCAATGATTCAGAGGTAGAAGCAAGCTGGGGGGGCCGGGGGGGGAGGGAGCAGAGGAGAGAGACCAGCAGAGCTAGAGGAAAACCCTGGCCAAGATATTTCCTGTTGGCCTCTGGGAAAAACTGGGAATCCAACATGTCTTTAAATAGGAAAATGCCATTTAGGAAGGTTCCCCTGATGTCCGTGGCCTAATGGATCCAAGAGATGAGAGTCTGGAGTGAAGAAGACCAGGGCGGAGGCAGATTAGGAATCAAGCAAGGGTGGAGATGAGAAATGGATAGGACCATAAAAAGGGGAAGAAAAAGAGAGGTGATGACACAGAAGGTATGGTGATCCTCAGTGACAGGGACAATGGTGGTGTCACCAACAGAAAGAGAAAACAGGAGGAGGAGCCAGTTTGGGAATGAGGAAAAGTGACTTAAATTTGGGGTTTATAAAAAAAACCCAGATAGAAATGTCTAGAAGGAAGTTGCAAACTTGAAAAGAAATGTCAACAGTCTGTAGAGATAAAGATTTAAGGCCAAACGTGAAGAATAACAATTGAAATAAAAGAGAACAGAAAGAGTGGAAGGACAAATAAGAGAGCATGTTGGGTCACAAAAGCACAGAATGGATAGATTATCCTAAGGATTATCCTAACTCATCCACGATTATAGGTTTCTAAGAAGAATATGTCCACAGAACACAAAAGAACAGATATAAAAGCAGGCAAACTAGTTTAGAGAGAACACATAGAAATGGTCACAAAAACGATACATTCAAGAAGGAAGTAAATTAGAAAAGCCAGATGCATCTAGAGAAAACAGGAAAGACAAAGCAGATAAAGCAAAAGGCTGCTCAGCAGACCCGTCTTATAAACAAGCACCTCAACGTGAGTTTTCTCTCAAACCCAGCATTTACATAAGCTCTGTATCTGTCAGAAAAATAAAAAATTGAGCACCCACAATGTAAGAGTCAGACCAGACAATGTCCCAGTATCACAGCATCTCATTTATCCTCACCCACTTGCGGCTTGATCTGTGTGAGACAACAGCGTGTCCAACTACTTAGACAGGAAGCCATGGATTCCGGATCTACAGACACCTCACCACATCATCATATGTTAACACAGAGCAGAAGACAGTGTAAAACAGATTTATACCGAGCCCGTCTAAAGGCATTTAGTTACTAAAGAAAATTACCACTTTGTGAGTGAGGCCATTTTGCATTTTGGGAGTTATACACTCACTACTTTCTTCAACATACCGATGGAAACTTTAAGCAATTATCTTCCCAGTGAGGATTACATGGCTGTGCCTCATTCTGTAGTTTAGATCTTATGGTTATGATAACTATATGACAATGTGTTACTCTTTTCAAATGTTGCAAAATAATCAAAAATGACCATAATATAATTAAAGCAATAGTTAAAGCATTTTTCCAGAGTCTAGGGAATCTTACTATTCTTCTCACAACCCCAACCAAATATATAAGGGTAATTTTTCAGCCAGATTATGTAATGCTAAGAATGTCAGATTCTCTTCAATTTAAGAGAGACCAGCAAGACCATGGCTGGTTTGAGGATCAGCAGGCCAGTCTAACAAAAAGACAGGAAAACTTTGGAGTAAATACAAAACACAGAGAAATCACCACATTCACAGAATAGCCTACCACATGTATTAAAAATCTAATTTTCAAAGACAGCACAGCAGTTCAGCTAATTCACGGTTGACTCCTTGAAGACACAACAACCAGGGAAGGTCTGGGACTGGTCTACACACAGGCTGTGAACTGCACTTGGTTACCACAAAGAGTGGCAGAGGTTGGTACAAAACCTCCTCACTTCGGTCAGAGACATCAGTAAATGCAATGTCAAGTTGAAGTTTTTTAAAAACTAGATTGGCAAAACACTCTGTTATTACTATATCGCAACTATGCAATAAAACCTGCTCAAAACCCAGGCCCGAGGACCTTTGGCTGTAGGGATCCTGAGGCCTGGAAAGGTCTGTGTCATTTAGTGTCACCTTATAGGTTCTCCCACAATCTCTGCATCAGTTCTGTAAGTAGCTGCTGTAGGGCTGAATTTCAACACTGCATAAATTTAACACTGCATAAATTAACATAGGAAATTCCCCGAAGAATCAGGGAGAAGATTTGCAAGTTATAAAAAATTGCTTCCTTCATTTAAGGAACTGCTAACACTTCATCTTAATGTGGAGAAAGAAATTCCTTGCATTTGCTCATCATTCACATATATGGGCCTGCAGAAACCCCTTTTATCAACAGCTGGGTGAATTACCAAAAGGAGGGAACAGCTCAGGCATCAATACTGCTCTTTCCCCAAGTCTTTTTCTGATTCCAGCCACCAAGGAAGGAACAACTGGCGGCTCACACTGTCAGACAAGAGCAGTGCCCCTGGAGACCAGAGATTGCTTGTCATTTCCATTTATTAATATGATCTTAACTGTTTTCCTCAAATATTTTTGTTACACAGTAATCTTATCAACTGCCTTTTGAATCCTAGCTTTCTTGAAGGGGTTGACTATCATAGCTGTGTGTCAGCTACTGGATGTCTCAATATTAAGGAGGATTATGGCAACCGTGGATTGCTAAACAATCCTCATGAAGAGAATAAAAATAGTTGTATGTGTGTGGGGGGGAGGGATTTAAAGATACCATTCAGATTGCTTGTCTCTTGAGCTTACCCAGCACCTTACGAAGATTTCAAAAGCCCCCATAAACCTGGATTTAAAAAAAGCAGGAAGGGCTTACAGGGGAGAACCAAAATGGTAATATGTCTGGGTATACCTGAGTTTTCACCAAGGAGGGACATGAAAAGTGGGAAGTAAAAGACAAGAGGGCGGTGAAGACACAGTGAGGAGACTCTGAGATAGAGGTAAAAGTAATCAATAAATTTAATTTATAAGGAGCACAAAGAGAGCTTTGCCTGTGCACCCAGCACACTCCTGACCACCTGAAAATCTGATTAGCTAACTTACTGTGTTCTCACTCTCTGTCCCCGACCAGCAAGGGCTGTTCTTTATCCTCCTGTGTTTTATGCCTGAATCTGGTTTCATTCCTTCCATGACAAATGCTCTGTGTGATATGCAAATTAAGTTACAGGTAATTAACTGTTTACACAACTTGCTGCAATAACAGACAAAACACTAACATACTGCAGCTCTAGCTCTTGAAGGACAGGCACTAGAAAAGAAATGCCTATTAAGAAAAAGGAGTCTATTACCATGGTAATATTTCTTCTACTAAACCCAGATCAAAAAAAAAAGAAAACATCGTAAAGCAACTATTACTCTGAGAAAGTTGTTTTGAAAAGGGTTTCTATGAGAGAAGGGACTGGGTTAACACATTTAAAGTTTGGAATTTATTTTGCTTTGATGCTAAATCCAAAGGGCCGCCCTACCGAAGGATGGGAAATCTATGGTGGAACACCCATGTGTCATCCTGAATATGAGCAGCCCAGCGGGGCGATTAATAAATGTCATTAGGTGATGATGATAAAGAAGCCTTCAAACACAATAAAATCATGCTCCCATAGGTCTTCCCAGGGAACGGGCCTTTTTGATTTATCTTTGTGCTCCCGAAGGTGGGCCTCTGTGGACACGAGAAGAACCGCATCAGGAGAGGGGCCCCTGCTGTGGGTCAGGAGAGAGAAGCAGGGTGACTGAAGCAGCAGAGCCAGAGAGGACACCACTGTGAGCTGGTCAGGGGACTGTGTTGCCTGTTCAGGGCCTCTTTCCTCCCTCCCGCCAGCGCCTCACCCAGGGCTACCTACAGTTTCAAAGGAGACAACAGGAGGGGAGAAAATAACTTCATTTTAAGAGGCTCCTGCCGTCTGTCCAAGACCTCTTCCAATTTGTTCCTGAGGCTGAACCAGGAACTCGTTCCCAGGGTTGGTCTGACTAGACCTTGGCCAGATGGCTCAGACCCAACAGGCAATGACAGGAAGTGGCAGTTCCTCAACTCTCAAAAGAGGGAAAACAAAGACTTATTATTATTAGCAGGACCTCTGAAGGTCAAAGGCCTCTAATGCAGTTTAGGCCGATGGGCTCTAGAGCTGTCTGTCAAACTGTTGTGCACAGAGTTACCTGGGAAATTTGTTCAAACCTCAGATGTCCAGGTCCAACCTCAGACCTTCTGAACCATAATCTCTAGGGATGGGGCCAGGCGTGTGTATTTCAAATATACACCCCAGCTGATTCTGATGTTTCCCCATGTTTGGCATCTAATGTTACAGAAAACAGCACACTGGGTTTGGCATCAGGAATGGGCTATACTGGTCTGGACCTTGCCCCATACACAGATGATCACTGAAACTCTGAGTGCACATTCTTCCCAAGTGAAAAGATGGGATTAGATCACATGATCACTAAGGGCTGTCTAGCTCTATTAGGTCATTTGGATGTAATTTACAGTTTATCAAAAAACAATGATAGAATACAGCTTGCTCTAGGATGGGTTTTTCTTTCAAGAACTCTGATTTCTAAAGCAATAGTAACTAGTATGTTTTCAGGCCTTCTTCATACTCATAACAGGGAAGTATTTGAGCCCTGGTCTAAGGTAAACCCTCTCTCTTCAGGGGAGATAAAATACAATGTCCTAAAGAAGGCTGACACTTCTGAGGCACCTGCGTGGCTCAGTCATTAAGTATCTGACTCTTTTCTCTCTCTCTCTGCCTCTCCCCTTTTTGCTCGCACGCACGCTCTCTCTCTCTCAAAATAAACTTAAAAATATATGTAAATCAAAAAGAAAGAAAGAAAAATTATTAAAAGAAGGCTGACACTTCCTGCCATGAAAAATTCCTCCATATGCACTGATCTTAAAAGTTTCCTATTTTGGAGGCAGACCATAATTGGAGGTGTCATTTGCATTTTAGAAATGAAGAACTGGGTGCATTAGCATTAGGGTTAAGACACTTCATATTAAGACCTAGCCTCATTTATCAGGGTCTTGACCTCATGCTGCCCCTACAGCAGGTTGACTCTCTGACCTCCCCAATGATGCCTGCAGGAGCACAGGCCTAAGGTGGGAACTGCCTCACTTACAAGATGTCCTCATTTCCATCCTTCCTTCAACTAAGCTGCTTACTTGGCTAAGGAAGGACCCACTGCCCACTTGTTGACTTAAACTTCTGCTATGGTTTACCTTCTGATTGGCCTCCATCATCTAACTCCAGGCTCTACATTAACCTCTGTCCCTTGGCATCTCCTGGGTCGGCCCTTGCTTTCAGCCCCCGTCTTTCCTCAGTTCTTCTGACCTGACTTCCTGGCTCTGTCTCCACACTCACTTACCACCCATGATCCATGGTGGATAGGGTGAAAGCCACTGCACAGGGGAGCCTAGGGCCGGCTAGAGGGAGAGAGCCTGCATTTTCTAATGGAGCTTATCATCTGGCAGGCTACGCTGAGATAGATGTTTTTCAGTATACTGCCTTCGAGAAACTGTTTTTACCCCTCCTAATTCACTCTGCCACCCTGGCTTCCCTGGGGTTGCCAGGAGTATGGGCTTCAAGGAAAGGGTATATGGCTGAGGGAGGCCAGGCAACATGCAGACCAATCAGAAGGGCAGCTGCTCCTGAGGAATGAAAGTTTAAGGCTGACAGACAAATAAATCTAATTTAGATTAATTGATCTAACAGGCAGAGGCACAAATGCTGGAGGTCCCCAAAGCCAGGGTGCTGCCTGGACCCAACAACAGGTCTCTTGATTGAAATGTGCTCCTAAATGTGTATTCCTGGGCATGTGACCTCTTGTTCTCATGCATGGAAGTGCCACTGTGTCATAGTTAGAAGGCCCTCATGGGCCGTCTGGTTCAAACCTATAATTTACCAAAGAAGAAACTGAAGCTCAGGTCACCACGACTAGATTAGCTAGTTAGCTACTAGATTAGCTAGTATTTTCCATAAACCCCGCCTTCCAGTGAATACAGAATGTTCACCCAGAGGCCAGCCAGCTTCTATACCATTCTGTCAGCAGCAGGGCTGGGAAAACACTTGGAATGCTCTGAACTGCCCCCTAAGAATGCTACTGCTCAAGCAGCCAGATGTTGCAAGAAAAAAGCAAGGTGGTGGGGGATCCCAGGCAACATAGCAATGCAGATATGAGAGGGGATCTTTCTATACCCTCCCTCCACCTTTTGATAAAGGGAACTTGGGTACATTTTGGTCCACTAGAGGCAAATATCACTGGCTCCCCATATCTCCCCCATCTTCTGTAGTTTCCTGTAAGGTAGGTGAACCAAGACTGAATAGAAATCAGGTTTTAATAGTAAGAATAGGTCATTCAATCTTGGAGAGTTTAAAGAGAGCTCCGAAGCTAAGCAGGTATGAGAAATAAAAGATACAGGAGTCTATCAATCGATGTCCTCCTACCTTTTTAAAAGCTGTACCTCATATAGCTGGCCGGTAGCTTTTAAGTCTTGGAAATAATAATGATAGCAATTTATTATCTCTTTACCCTTATGAAGAACATGTAACTTAATATACTGGAAATAAGAGTCTAAATGTCTCATATCAATCCATGAGGAATTGTTTAAGAATAGCTAAAGAAAGACTGATGTGAGTTAGTAGATGAAGAAAGGAAAAGTAAGGCCAAGGAATATCCGGAAATTTTCCATTCAGTAAAATCTATTAGTCTTTAGAACAATGTCTCAAGGGATCCAGTGACAGCCCAATCTTTTGAGTCATTTAAAAATGGAGTAGATTTGGCTGTTGGAATTATTCCAAGGGGCAAAACTCTTACACTACGCCGGAAATGGACAATGCAACCTAATGGGTTGTTGTCACGTTGACCATTTGCCACATTAGCATGGCTAGCTTGTTCTTTGGATTTAACAAAGAAACATAAGAAGGGGAGCTGACCAGTCAAATTCCGCTACAATTGACACTGGGGGCACTATACTGAAGCCCCTTCTAACAATGGGCAGAGTCGGGGTCACAAGGTTAGACTAAATTCACATTGAGAGAAAGGGAAACATGGTATCAGAGGAAAAGTGCTCATGAAATACTCATGATCAACGCCCCATGGCCATTTGGGTGTGGTCTAAAGATGGGCATTGCTGAGCTGTACCTTTGCTCGTGGCCTTTATAATCCCACCCTTTGTTACCTTCAGTCTCTATTACTACTTGTTTTTCCTGTTTTTTTTCTCTTCACTTTATAATTACTGGTCACCTTTTCTCTCATTGCCTTATTTCTGCATTAGTGGATAATGGATGTCCTTTCTCACACCCAACTCAAACTCAAAAACCAAACACCATTTTTAAATTTTTTGTTTTTATGGCAAGGTATTATCTTGGTCTAGTTGTTATATTTACGGTCACAGCTTCCCTGGGTTTCGATTCTTTCAACTGTAAAACAGTGAAAATAAAACTGTCTCTATTTACATCTCTTGTTGTCATAAAAACAAGTAAGAGAATGGATATGAAATCACCTTGGAAGCCAAAGTACTACAGAAATACAAGGTATCATTGCTTCTTATTTCTTGTCCATCACAGTAGTGCCCATCTTAGGATAAAAATATCTTATGGACAGCTATCTTTTTATTAGTATATTTTTATTTTTTATTATTACCTGGGATACAATTCCTAACATTTGAATATAAGAGCTGTGAAAACAACATGTACCTCAAAACATACCTGCTGAAAAGGATATTAAATTATATTGCAGACTGGGGGCAGGGGGGGTCTCTTTTGGAATCACCAGTAATAATCTGGTGCTTTGAAATGATCTGTTTAGTGGTTTCAACATACAATAATACAACTGAGGAAAGAAAAAAAAAAAGATTTACTGAATACTTCATATAAATGTAATCTTCACAACACTGGGTATAACGTCACCCCAGTTCAGAGATGAGAAAAATCAATGCCCAAGGTCACAGGGTTAGTAAAAGACAAAGCTTGGACACAAACCCAGATCTGCCCAATCTGAACTCCCTACAGTACTGTGTGGCATATTTGATGTTTTCCCAAAGTGTTTTATTCCATAAATAGATGCCATTGATGGCATGGGGCCAGGTGCAGACAATTCAACACACCCCAGACGGGCATGATGGAGTGGAAACTCGATACACCCTTAAAGTCGTCACTTCAGTATCATTACAAATTGCACTGCGCAAACAGGCGTGCTTGCTGGATGCCAGGGTAGAGACATACACTTTTGTCACAGCCATTCTTTGCACTGACCACCACCTCCACCTTAATATGGCACTAACATCAAGTTGGAAAAATCCTTGAGTCAAGCTTGCAGGTTCCATGTAGTATTAGTAGTGAAGGTTGGGGTTAGTTAAGAGCACATCAGAAAGCTGTTTTTGACAAGTGAAATGTACTAACTTAACATTAGCAACATTACCTCTACCAAAGACCTTTAAAGAAAAGAACTGCTGGCAACCCTACCAGGAGCCACACGGGTGGTGCTTCAAGCAAGAAACAGGAAAAGCCTCAGCCATTAGGCTTTTAAAGAAAACAGAGGCTTTTAATAAATCTTGACTGTATTTTCTTCCACTAGTGTTGATGTTATTTTCCAGCTACCCAGATAATACCAACCCTCCCGTAAATATCATATATTTACAGAGAGTTAGAAATTTACATTAAGTGGCATTATTATAACTACAGCAAATCAGACTGCAGAAAGGCATGCTGTGTAACTCAAACACTAGATTTAGACAGGTCACAAGGTCAACTCTAGGGAATTTGTCAGCAGAAAGAATCAAGGTTTCTAACAATTTCTGTCTGTCAGAACAATATACCAGTTAAATGATGGGCAATTATGTGACCTGCTGGAATTGCTAATTGGCTTCAGTGTTTATCATTAGCTCTGTAAAGCACATGAATTAGAGAAAACACATGTACTGTGAATATCATATTATTCTGGAAGGAGGGGTCAGGAGAAGAGTATGGCTGCAGAAACATAAAAGAAATGGAAGGTGTTGCCTAAATCCTATCTCTGGCCTCTCTTTCCCTGCCCAATCCAGTGGGCTCTACCAACTGGTAGAAGATTGAACAGGGCTTGAAAGAGTGCTTTGTGTTTTTAGGTTTTCTTTGGTCGGTCCTTCGTGTTTTGTGTTTCTCTGCACGACTACTTGCTGCTTCTAGACTCAAAGTGGCTGGTCCCTTAACTTGTATCTTTCCTCTTTGTTGTCTTTGAGTATTGGCCCAGAAATATGGGGCAATGACCTTGTGGACACAATTAACATACAGTGGAGGGCAAAAGTTAAAGCAACTGGAAAAAGTATTATTTTAGTAAGACTCTTTTTCTTTCCTACAAATAAATGAGTTAAATACAAATAAATGAGTTAAATACTCTTCCCACAACCACCTGGATGGAAGTTCATTAGTACCTAATGCACTGGTTAGAGCATATCTTGATGGTGAGGACTAGTTTGGAGTAAGAAGCTTTTCCACACACATTAGCCCATTCAGTCCTTACCACTGCCCCACAATGCTGGGCTTGCTTCCTTCCGCTGCCCCAGTTAGCTTGGCCTGCACACCTACCTGTTTGGCCTGATTGACACAGCGCATGTACTGGTTGGCCAGATCAGAGCAGCTGAGGGTCTGCTGGGTGTTCTGGCGGTAACACTGAAGAATTTTGGCTTGTAGATCAGCACAGACAGGATGAAACTCATACCGCCTGAAAACAAAAACAGAAACCCGTGAGGCAAATGCTCTTCAAATGCTATTAGAATAAAGATCAAGGCTAAAGAGTATATAAAACATTAAGTAAGATATAAATGTTGCAAATGTAGAAGGAAAGTTTGAGAAATAATTTTCTTCCACCCTTAAAAAAAGATACCAAAATTGTTCCCATGATAAGAATACATATAAGGTAAATGATTTCTATGAAATTAGCTCCAATAATTGATACCACCACGAGCCACTCTGGACACTAACATTCCCACCCAAACCCATACCTAAACCAGGTGAATGGAACCAATACTCTTCAGCCCAGTCGGCTGAATCAGAAACACGAGGGCCCTAACTTCTCTCTTCCACGCCCGTATCTAGTCAGTCTCAAAGTTCAAGACCCTGCAGTCTAGTCCTCTTTCTCTGTATTCACTGTCACCACATTAATTTGTAATCACTTATATCCTGGATTCAAGCCAGTCTGTCTCTTAGCTTTCGACCCTCTATTACTGCCTTCCAGAAGGTTCCTTCTAATATATAAATCTGAGACCATATCTCTCTCTACTGCTTTTTGAATAAAATGCAAGGTCAACAGGCAAGTCCTTCTGGATCAGGTTTCCGCCTGCACTTTAGCCTTCATTCCTCAGATTGCTGCAGCCTGATCAAACCATTTTTAGGTTTGCCCTAAACCATGCCCCTTCATGTCCTTAGTCATGCTGCTCTTGATTTTGGACATGTTCTGTACCCAAACTCCCACCCATCCTATATACCTGGAAAATACTAACTCAACTTTCAATACTTGAGCTAAGCACTGAAGTGTAACCTCTGGACAGCTTCCCTAGCTCTCCATCCAGGCTGGAGTCTACCACTCCCTTTTTGGCGACCCCACTGACCCCGTACTGGTTGCTTCTACCACTTACTTCACCTTCCACTTAACACTGATTACACTGTAGTCTGGTGTCATTTACTAGCCTACATCTACCAGGAGGCAAATTCCAAGAAGTAAGGACTTGTCTTATTTTCTTTGTGACCTCAGCTATTGATATGGATACCTCTTTTAGCAGTCATGCAATAAATTGCTAAGAATACAAATGGGTAGAGAAAAATAAACCTTTTTTTAAATTTTCTAGGCTAAAATTTACTAATTATACTTACAAATCTTTACTTTCAGTGAATATGGAGTACTAAAAAATGCCTCCAAAAATCTTAAAATATACACTTGAAAAAGGATAACAAAATAAACCGGATGAATTATACAAATGAAAGTAAAATATCCTGGTTTGGATCACAGAGGAACTTGAATTATAAGGGCTAAATATATAATATTATCACTTTTAATCTAGGAATTTATATTTTTTCAAATTCGTTTTGTTTAGTACCAAAGGCTTCCAGTCTTTCATCTCAGTTCTTTTTTTGAAATTTAAATTTTTATTTCCTTAGTAAGCTTGAAATAGCACTATTTTAAATTAAATGGGTTCTTAAAAAAAAACAAAAACCCTAGAGAATCGAGGGCAAATACTTTTCCGTCAATAAGGAAACCCTTGGGTGACGATTTGTCTCATTACTTTCATCCAACACACTAAGCTAACACAGATTTTGCTAGAACAGAAAACTGACATGCAAACCACGTTACTGGTCCCTGAGGGAATTTACTTCTTACCACCTTCTAAAGAAAGTAGACACACAGGAAAAAAATAATCCCACAAATTTTACATAACATTGCTTTTACTTTTTCATTCATTACCTTCCTGCTCTGCCAAATACCTAAGAACAGAATTTAAATCCAATCCCTGGAGTTTCTATTCTCTTTAAGATTCTGAAGTTCACGTCTATGAATTTTTTTTGGACACGGATTTCCTTAATCCCCTACCATGAACATGATCATCTAAAAGGATGTGCTTCAAAAAGCAGAAGATACCATGAACTGACTGATTATAGCAAGACACACATCTGGATAAGTACTGAATAAAATATAATTAAACATTAGACCAGCTGAACCTAGCAAATATATGACTAATGTCTATAATAGTTCATGGGAAAAAAGACTTATATTCTATCTTAGTGTTGAGGACCATCATTCTTCTAATATATCTTAGATTTAAAAGCAGGGGAAGCGGGAAAGGGAAAGAAGACTAGAATAATCCTAATTGTATATTCAGCTCTACCCATTAACATACAGGAAAAGATTATAAAGCATGAGCTTCCATATTGCACATCATAAACAAGATGGTGTGTAGGGTTTTTTTTCTTTTAAAAAAACTATTTGCGATGGAATAATTCATTCAATACTATGAACTTGTTAGAAAGAGGTATTTTAAGTTGTATATAAATGTTTACTGAGTTGAGCTATTAGTCATGCGAGTTAATGTCCATGAGTTATTTATGATTTGAAATGTGTCAAAACATACTTTTATCACCACAAATCAATACTGTTCACTTTCAGGGCCTGTGATTTCTTGTCTGGTAGTCCGGTAGGCCTGTATACGCATATGTGTGCGCACACATGTATACGTACACACACACACACACACACACACACACACACACACCCCTTCTGAAATTCTTTGTGTATACATTTCAGCGTGTATTGACGATTAGATAGTAGAGTGGGAGAAAGAGATGTGGAAATCAGCATAATTGTCTCCGACTTCCTGGAGGAGACTCTGGTACATTTTTCCTGGATTCAACTGTGAGGGCAAAGCTCTGCCTCCATATTGATCTGCACTGCTTGTTATGCTGCTCTAATGTACTATTTTCACTTTGGGAAAATGCAAAATGAGATTACCGTCCACCATTAGAAGGCCATAAAACACAAGCCATGGCACCTTCCATTCAGGAAAAGGTTTAAAGGCATTTCCAATATGCATTATGGTCAACCCTCCATATAGCCATTGAGTCAGCAATTGATTTTCATTGACTGCTTTCCTTCCTGCTGATGGAAAAAGTCACTACTAGGCAAAAATAACAAAAGGGCAGAATTTCAAGATACCTAAGAAGGAAAATTAAATCTTGGCTGCAGGAGACATTTAAACAATTTAATTTCATTGTAGGAAATAAGATTTAAAAAAAGAAATGGTGAACAACAAATGTTAAGAGAAAGATGAAATACAAATTTGGAGAACTTGAAACGTTAATAAAGAAGAGATAGGGCAGTAACCCAGAAACATTAGTAAAAAGGAATTGGTGGAATACAGTTGATACTTGAAAATATATATTGATCAAAAACAAGTTTAAAAAAAACAGTTTTTTTGTCACTTGAAGTGACTGGGGATTTTGAGGAGTCCCACCTCATACCCATCCTCTTTCTTCACTTTCCTTTTCGTTCCTGGACTCTTCATTCTCTGTTCCCTTCCTCCTCCCTCACTTCAAGTATCAGCAGCTGCCCTTGCCCTTCTTACCCCACCCCACAGTGGCCCTGAGGAGCAAGGTGGTTGATGACCATATCCAGCAACATAACTGGAGAGCCAAAGACTTGAACAGAGAATAAAATCACTCCTGGTAGGCATTCTGTAGCCAATGTAATCATTTTTGTTAATGTTTAATGCTAATATTCATTTAAAAGGCAGAAAAGAAAATATATCCAAGTATTTTTTCATTATACTAACAGGGTCATTGTAGAAACTTTGCAGGGGCAGGGGACAGAAAAGAATACAGAAACACATTTAGGCCATTCCTAATTTGTCAGTGCTTAAAGTAACAGCGATGGATATGCTACTCTTGTCTCTGATTATTTCCTGGGCATAATTTCTTGTAAGTTGAATTAAGGGTCAAAGACAAATAAAAACATTTTGGTAAAAATGAAGCTGAAATAAGTGGTATTCAGCTCTCCTCTTCATCTGTGACACACTGACACTTGGCCACCTGTTTTAGAGCTATCTGCAGGCTTCGCTGCCCTGCTTCTACTTTCATGTCTGAGAAACTTCTTTGATGTGGGTCTGAGCTTTACATTTCGAGGAAACTACTTACCCATCTTTTTAGTTCTGCTAATATAAATGGCAAGGATAATAAGCTAACTTCAGAGAAGGAGGAAGATATGGAGACAGCTCTTCTCATACCACTCTCTACCAGGAGGCTAAAGAAGTCATGTAACGACAATCAGCAGCCACAAATTCCTAAAGCTCTCAGGAACATAGCAATCGTTCATTATGAGTGCAGGTGCACAAAAAAGGATCTTTTCCCTGTATCTGAACCAGTAGGTACAGAAAGTAGGGGAGAGGGAGAGAGAGAGGAGGAGGGAAAGAAGGGAAGGAATGGATGGCTAGATGGATGGGTATGAAATGTCTGGTGCTAAAAGAATTGATTTTTTTTTTTTTTAACAGATTACGACAATGCATCCTTAATGGGATCTGGTGGTCTAATAAAATGGTGTCCACCATATTAAAAGCAGGCACACAACACGGCCATGGAGTCAAATCCTCAGTTCTAATTCCTATGGCCTAATGCAAAAACGCAAATTTTATTCTGTATTAAACATTGCATTACATGTTAAGTCCAGGAGTCAGGATTTCTGCTTTTATGACACAATAGTAAAGCTATCAAGTACATTGCCAATAGTCTAAAATATGAAACAATCCACTTATCATTTATAATAAAGCTATCATAAAATGCAATATCAAGGAAGAAAGTATTAACTCAAATGTGTTATTAGATTTTTCCATTTTTCATTTTACCTTCAATTACAATATCCTAATAATAGTTTTTAGAAAAAAATGTAAACAGCCTCTTTCTAACAATGCAAAATCTGAAAGACAACTCTAAGGTTTCCATTCTTATAATGAAGCTTCCACCCGGGCTGTAATCAAATTTCCACAATCACACTTTAGAGGCCTAACATCTCCCAAAGTTGCCTGCTTTCCTTGTTTCAATTTATCTCCATATACACTTTGCTATAAAATCTGAAAAAATAAAATAAAAGCAGACAATTTTTTTACATTTAGTTCCTGAAATGATAAATATTATTAGCTATGATGATGTCTATCCTTACAACACAAATAATGCCAAGAGGTC